TACTTCTCCCGGGGGGGGGGGACTGCAGGGGGTTCCAAATATATAGTAGGGATAGTGAGGTCCAAGAACCAATCTTGAAAGAACTCTCTAGTAGTGCTTCCAAACTAACTTGAGGTAGAAACTAGGGTTGAGGGGCCTTGGGTGGGAGTGAGCATGGACTCGGGTGGTGCCAGAGGGGAAGTGTTCAAGAGCAGCTCCCACTCCCGAAAGGGAAATCAATTGTAGTGCTCCCAGCTCATGTGGAGTGGTGCCCCACTTGAGTACCTTGTGGCTCATTAGTCCTCACCCTTCCTAGGGGCTTGGACTTTCCCTTCGGGATGGAAGTTCGGGGGGGGGGGGGTAGAGGTACCCATACCAGGCCATTAGGCCATGGTGTTTCGCCCCGGTGTCCCGAAGCAAGTGTTGCACCTAAGGTTTGGGATTTAGAAGATCCTATGATCAAGTCTTGTTGTACCAAGGGATGTTAAGAACCTGGAGGCTTGGTATGTTTGGCTGCTTATGCCTGCGAGGAGTGTAGCCGAACCTTAAGTCTAGTCTAACCTGAGAAGGGGGATTGGGAGAGATTTGGGAATCCGTGGATGAATGGCTAACGCTCCGTTGCTCGTGCAGTAGCTGAAACCAAGTAGGACCAAGTAGGAGCTGGTACAGTAGGTAAGAACCTTGGCGAGGGAACTTAGCAAAAGCCAAGGCAGTGGTGGTTTGATAGACGAGGTAAGCTGGCAAATTGGAAAGGAAAAATTTGTAGTTTACATAATAATGAAGTAATTACAATATGATCACCTTCTAGTAACATCTAAGAACCATGTAGATATGCATGAAGTTTTTCAAAACCCCAATGTGCTACTAAACACTTCTTTTTTGTTGTGGAGTAGTTCACCTCCACTAGTTATAATATACGATTTATATATGCAATAGGATGGCATTGACCAAACACACTCGGGCTCTCTTGCATTAATATACATCCAAAACCAATATTAGAAGCATTTACATGCAAAATGAAATGTCAAGTATAATCAAGATATGCTAAAATAGGAGGAGTCGTCAATAACTCTTGAGATCCATAAACGTTAATTTATAATCCACAGACCATATGAAAGATGATGTTGACAACTTTAGCAACACTCGTAATGATGCACAACAAAACAACCGAGATACTGCATCTTGCCTAAGAAGCATTATATATCATTCACACACTTTAAAATAAGGAACTTTAGAATAACCACAAGTTTGTCAAAATTAATTTGCAAACCCTCACAAGAAATACAATACCCAAAATAAGTCGCGTCTTTAGACCTAAATATGCACTTTGAGTGCTTCAGCTTTAAACCAACTTTCCATAGTCGATGTAACACCTTATGAACATCATAAACATGCTCTTCCCACATACCCTCCAAGTGGATCAAAACATCATTAATGAAGTCAGCAATCACATTAGGCATATTACAAAGAACCTCATCCATCATTTACTGGAAAGTTGCTAAAAAAACCAAATGGCATCACTAAAAACTTGTATAAACCAAATAATATATAAAAAATAGTCTTAAGAATATCTTCTTTAGCCATCGGTACTTGTCAATAACTAAAAGCAAGATTTAATTTGGTGAATTAACAACTTCTCTTTAGACAATTTAAAAGATTAGTAGTGTGAGGAAGAGGATAGACATCCAGGATTGTCACTTTGTTTAACAGATGATAATCGATTTAGAAACAAATACTCTCATCAACCTTCATCATAAGATGAGGTTTACATGCCCAAGGATTTCACAACTTTTGAATAACACCTTTTTCTAATATCTTCTTAATGTTTACATGTAAAATTTTAATTTTTTTGGGTGATCGACGACACAAAAGAACCTTAATTGGACGAGCATCCTCAATTGGAATAGGATGATAAGTTACAATCTTGGCCTCAGACGACAGGTCAAATTTAAAGAGATCGGCATACTCCTTCATGAGGTAGTAAACCACTACAACATAAAGACTATTGGAAGGATCAGAAAAGGGAAGAGAAGAACAAAATAGAAACATAAGAGGAAGTAATAAGGAGACAAAGTGATGGAAGCAGAAGTAAAACTAGATGGACAAAAAGGAATATAAATAAAAGGAATGGAAAAAATAAAAGGAATTATAGATAAACTTCAAAGTCACACTTGGCATAATTGCGCCACAACAATCTATACCAAGGATGAGGTTAAAAGATTAATTTGGCACCACCCACAATGACTGCAACTCAAGCTTGAAATTGCCCACATATACAACTAAGTATACCTCATCCTGTGCACATATATACGTACGGCCATTGTTATAAAGAATGAAAATTGGCTCTACCACACAATGTAAATATAAATGGCAATATGTGGCAATAGGTTAAGCAATAGAAGATAACTCAAACCTAAATCAACTAACACATAGAGAATAATAAAAGACTTTTTGTTATAAAAACAAGCTTAGATGAACTAGTGCCAAGTGAGCCCCTTGATGATACTCCTGAAAGAAAGATAAAATGGTCACTAACTTATTCGAGTAAAGTCCTTTTGTTACTCGCATGACTCTTCATTTCCCAGATGCAACTCGGTGTCCAGCCTTTCCACTGTAACAACACCAATAGAACATTGTTAATGCCAAGGTCTTCATTCGGGAAATGGAGGTCACCAATCCAAAAAATGCCGACAACGCTGATAAGTGTGACTAACTTTATCATATGCCCAACAATAAACATTATGGCTACGTCCTCACCCTTGTCCTTGAACTCAAGCAGTAGCATCAACCTCCATTAGAACAGAACCATCTCCCATAGGAAGTGGAGCTAAAGGACGTGCAACAAGAAGTGGAAGAAATAATGTTTTATAATGTTGTGCCAAATAAAAGGTATTATCAAGGGTGGCTGAAGCAAGTGCATACACAAGTCCTATAAGATCTTAACAAAGTGTTGGCCACAACATTCCCAACTTAATTTACTTTAATATATTTGGTTTTGCACAAAGCAAGAGGCTTTAGAAACAAAAGCCAAATTGCATCATGGACTTATATGTCCCTTGACAAAGACGATGTAATTGTTGAAAAGCATCATCACAATCGTTAACATATCCAATTGTGCCCTTGAAGACATCCGGGAGAATGCTCAAATTCTCACGAGTGACTGCACTCAAACCATTGTACCATTGTAGTGCTGTCCCTTGGAGACACATGGGAAACTCACGGCCCGAGTTCTTCTGTAGGAATCTTGGGGATGATATGTACTATTAGTTCGATCACTTTACGGTGATTGCTATATATCATTCTTGGAATAATGCAGGAGGAGCTATACCACACACCATGAATGTTTCTATCAACTAAGTTTAATTGTTCAATTGCAACTATATAGCATTGAGAAATTACATTAACTGTTGCTCCATAGTCAAAGGAGGAGGAGATTACTACTCTGCCATGAAGATGAACGAAAAGAAAAGTGCAAAAGAGAAGTTGAGAAAAGTTATAAAAAAAATTGAAGATTTAAACAATGCAAAAGCTAAATCTAAACCAAAATCCCAAATCCTAACACTCCTCAAGGACAATTAAAATTACCCTTCATCTCCACCAATATGAGTGTATGGAATATGAAAAGAGAATACAGAAATGTGCATATCAATTAACCCAAAGACCCTAATTTATTGTAATGCACCCCCCTTTAAACTAATTGGAAGAGGGGCAATTGTTGATAAAAGAGCCTTTAATAGTTATTTTATTCCCATTTATCCAAGGATTCACGATGACAATATATTTAAATTTCATTCTATGATCACATGTGTTACACTCACCCCCCCTTTCAGAGATATTAATCTCTTCCATATTTCCATATTGAATATACCAATCCTTCCATTGTGTAGATTAGTTATTCCATGTAGTATATCTAAATCTCATCTTATGATCACATGTGCTACACTCACCGCCCCTTTCAAAGATGTTAATGTCTTCCATATTTCCACATTAAATCTATTAATCCTTCTATTGTATAGATTGGTTATTCCATGCTATTGTGGGGAATTAACACCTCCATTTTCACAATATCTATTGACTAACAACCCCTCCATTTCCACATTCCATGTAGTATATCTAAATCTCATCGTATGATCATAATGTGCTACACTCACCCCTTCTTTCAGAAATGTCAATGTCTTCTAGATTTTCACATTGAATTTACCAATCCTTCTATTATGTAGACTAGTTATTCCACAATATCTATTGACTAACAACCCTTCCATTTCCACATTCTATACAGTATCTTTAAATCTCATTCTATGATCACACGTGCTACACTCAACTCCCCCCCCCTTTCAAAGATGTCAGTGTTTTCCATATTTCCACATTGAATCTACCAATCCTTTCAAAGATGTCAATGTTTTCCATATTTCCACATTAAATTTACCAATCTTTTCATTGTATAGACTAGCTATTCCATGTGTCTATTGACTAATAACCCTCCATTTCCATATTGAATCTATCAATCCTTCTATTGTGTAGACTAGTGAGCTAATAACCCCTTCATTTCCACATTGAATCTATCAATTCTTCCATTGTGTAGATTAGTGAGGTAATTAGTCATCCATTTGTACTTTCGTTTGTGGATGCTTCACAAAAGAGGAAGGACATACACATAAATGCTTAATATATATAATTGTAAATTTAAGGGTAGGAATATACTTTGTTTAAGGGTATATTATATTTTTAAGTAGCCAATAATTAATAGGAATCGAACCCATGCCATTTGTTTATTTACTATATATAACACACCCTATCTCTTTTTTAAACCATTTGGAAAAAGAGCAATTACTTGATTTATCCCCCAAAGTTTTAAAGATCCATAGTGATAGTATATTCAAATTTCATCCCATGATCACACATTTATATATAGGAGCAAGTGGTCTAAATTGAAATCAATTCGACGACTACCAAAATCTAACAATTATATAATATTAGTAGTTGTACATTTGAACTTCATATTATGAAAATGCATATCTATATTTACTAGTAAATTGAATGGACTTTTTATTATTAGATTCTTTAAAAAAATAACAGCTTGTTGTTGAAGCTTTTAATAACAAGAATATCCTTTTTCCATATATTCTTTGGTACTTTCCACAAGAGTTCTCTAAATGACATAATCAGACCACGAGGAGATGAAAGAAGTGTGATCCATAGTCTCACTGGGAATGTCCTTAAGCTTGGTGGGCTTGAGCTTCCCTCCCACAAGCCTGGCCGGATTCCCCACAGCAGTTGTGTGTGGAGGAACCTCGATCAGCACGACCGACCCAGCTCCAATCTTGGCTCCCTCGCCAATCCTCACGGGCCCCAGGATGATCGCCCCGGCCCCGATCAACACCCCGTCACAAATCTTTGGGTGGCGATCACCACCCATGGCGCCAGTCCCGCCCAGCGTCACATTGTGTAGGATAGAAACGTTGTTGCCAATGGTGGCGGTCTCGCCAACCACGAGCCCGGTAGCGTGGTCGAAGAGCACGCCTCGCCCAATCTTGGCGGCGGGATGGATGTCTACATGGAACACCTCGGACACCCGGCTCTGGAGCGCGAGAGCTAGCGACTGGCGTCCCTGGTTCCACAGCCGGTGTGAAACTCGGTGCGCCTGGCACGCCAGGAATCCTTTGAAGTTGAGCATGCAGTGCGAGAAGGAGACGCAGGCCGGATCGCGCTCGCGGACGGCGGCTATGTCGGCCCGGATCGTCTCCCTCATCTCCGCGTCCTCCATGAAAGTGTCGACGAACATGGTGAAGAGCTGCGTGCTGAGGAGCGTGGAGCTCGAGAGCTTGTTCCCCAGATGGAATGCCAGAGCTCTCTCCAGGGATCTGTGCGCCAGGATGGTGGAGTAGAGGTAGCTGGCCAGCGCGGGCTCGGCCTCGGCGTCGCGGCGGGCCTCCTCGCGCATTGTCAGCCAGATCTCGTCCACGCCGCCGGCGGCGCCGCCGTTGCTGGTGGCGATCATCGTGGCGCCATTGGAAGGGGGCGAGATCTTTCTAGGGTGAGAGGAAGAGGAATGAGAAGGAGCGAGGGAGCTATGGAGTTCTTGATGCTGCTCACCCATTTCCCTTTTGACGCTGCTCCCGGCAATCGGCGACGCCAGCGCCGCGCGGCGCGTGACAATCCGGCTCCCAGTCGTGGAGGAATCGGGGGAATCCTTGCGAGAAATGGGCGGCGTCACTGTGGCGGACGCTGCCGCCATAGCGCGAGGGCTTGCGCAGGCTGATAATTGTGAGAAGACCTTAAAGGGCCACGTCTGCAGGCACACTTGGCAGTGACGTGTCAAACTTTCTCTCTTTTTTCAGCGAAGTGAAGCTATGGCGGCCACGAATGGGTGGGCGCTCTGCTTTGTCAACCCCAGCTCGATCGTGAAAGCGCGCAGAAGATTCTTGGCTCGTGCTGGCGAAGCAGCGGACGTTGACAGGGAGGAGCTCGCGGCAAAGGTAATGTCTAAGAAATCGATTGCAAGGCTCCAACTTCGATTGGATTGGATTGGATTGTTTATCGATAAAAAATGTAGCTCGCAGCTGCTCAAGCCGAAGCACAGATTTTGAGGAAGGAGCTAGCGAAGAGAAAGGAGGTGGATCTTGCCAAGCTAAAACCCGCGGTTCCTGATAAGCGAGTGGATGGAACTGGCTACCGCGAAACTCTTCTCAGTGTTCCAGGTGAGAAGAAAGCAAAAGAGTTTTGAGCTAAAGTTTCTTAAAGCTGGCGCTTTCAAGTGAACAGGGGAGGGAGAGAAGCCCGAGGAGTGGGGATTGACAGAAGCCAAATTGCAAGAAGAAGAGGAAGTGTTTGAAGAAGATTCTCAAGAGAAAAAAGAAGAAGACGAGGGAAACGAGAATGCGACCGTTTACAGACGTCTTTTGATTGGTGTTGGATTGTCAGTTGTTGCAATCGGCCTTGCTTTTGTAAGTGTTTTTTTTCCTTCTCTCTTGCTGTAAAATGAAAGTTTTCTCTAGTTTCAGTTCAAGCCTCCACCGGGACTTATCAAGCCTCCAAAACCTTTGGTGTTTTATGTCTTGCGGATCTTGCAGCTCAAACAACAGCTCATAGACTTGGAAGCATCCACTTCAGGTTGATCTTTCATTTGATTTTTTTATTTTTTATTTTTTTTCCGTCTTGATGGTTCTTCGTTGTAGATACAAAGACAGTGCTTGCACAATTAGAGCAAATCTACAGATCAGCTGGTGACTGGAAAGATAACTGTCTAAGGTACCAACATATCCATCACAAGTTGAATGGTATGTGTTCTTACTCTTGCTTGCTAAATTCCAGTGCTGCTGCTTGGCTTGATGGAGATGCTGCAGACAAGGCCTCGTCTCTAGCTTACTCCATCTATGATTATCTCCAGCAGGTATTTTCAACACTATTTTCTCGTCATCTCTGACTCTCTTGTCACGCCACAACAGGCTCAGTACAACAATTACTTTGATGCTATTGGCCAACCTTCCGAGGCTGCCCAGTAAGCCAAAAGCTCGTTTTTTACGGTTTTTGTTTCATACCCAACTTTGGTTTTTGTTGCTCAGGCTTGAGTTTGTGCGATTCAGTCTGCAGTCCACAAAGGTGCTTTACTTTTTGCAAAAAAAAAAAAGAAGAAGAAGAAGAAAACTTGTAAACAAATTTTTTTATGATTTGTCACAGGCTGCCCGCGATCTTATTCAAGAGTTCCTGTCTTATGTGCCGACGGAGACACTGAGAGAGGCTCAAATGAATCAAAACGCTTTGCTGCAATAAGTATAGAGCGGTAATTCCTTTTTTTTTTTCTTGAGCTTTCCTCTGTTGTGCTGTAGAAAAGATTACCAGAGTTGAGCGGAAGTGCTGTAAGCATATGGGGACAGTCGTTGGTGCCTCGAGTTGGCACGCATGTTTGAGGATGCCTCTACAGCAGGAGTCTGTCTCGCTTGAGCTAGCATTGCCTGTGGGCTAATTTATGGTTGTTTACTCCATAAACCAAACGCTTAATTGATGACGTGGCAGAGCTCTTGTTTGTGCAGAAAAACATGAGCAAACACAAAAATTTGAAACGTGTCTAGATTTTTCAATTATATTTGTGGAGTGTCCCAAATTAACACTATATCGTGAAAAAAAAAAAGTAAGAATAAATTCATAATTTGAAATACACCTCTCAAAAGTTAGAACTTAAATAGTGGACAACTTGATAATGATATTGATGGATAACAAAGTGAAAAATTTATTCTTAAAGTGATACAAAGCAAGAACTAGACCAAGTATCTAAATTAATATTCATTCATTCATTTATTTTTTTTATATATTTTATCTTTTTTAATAAACATATAGATGTCATCCTAAAAGAGGTTATTATTTGATAAGTAACAAATGAAATCTGTCCAAGAACTATAAAAATCAAACTGATACTGATGACAATGACCATAAGGATCAGTTTGTTAAAAAAAATGTGTTCATAATATTGAAGGTAAAATCACTTTTAGAACTGTTTTTCCACAAAATCTAATCAATACTTATCATCTGCAGCTATGATGCTGTCTGGAGACATTTCAGCTGAAACATCACCCAGTAATATTCATGAAGAAATAGTTGGGAATCTTGAGCACACACTTGACACTTTACACTTCAAAAATGCCAAAGAACATGGTAGCCATGATTTAGAAACAAGTTCCACTCCAACTCTTCTCGCCAAAGAAACATTTCAATTTATGACAACAAATGAAGAAAAGAAGGATAAGAGCCAAGGTAAACCATTCTAATTGATTTTTAAAGTGAATTACTCTGATTTTTAAAAAATCCTTATGTAGTCCTGGAAGTAGAACATATTCAAACATAGGGAAGATGTAGAGCATGGTATATTCTAAATAATAATCTCAAACGTTTTACTTTTGGATTTATATGATATCACTTTATACTTCTCTTGATGAATCCAGCTCCGCTGGAATAGATAGGAAATCTGTTACATCGGTGACACAAATCCTAGAGAATTTCTTTGTACACAATGTTGTTCACCATGATAAATAAAATATAAGAGAAACCTTTTATATTCCACTAATGGAAAAGTTGATATGCATGCAAAAGGTAAAAATTCTGATATACTTATGATAATAAATTTAATATTAGCTGAACACATATATAGAAAAAAAAAGCGCAGGACAAGCTGAGCATATTCAGCTATGTATGGTATAATGATTATATGAATTTTATTAACTAATAAAATTATAGAAGATATCTTATCATCTAAGATCCAGTTTAATGAGAAACAACTACAATAAGTATGATATGAATGTAACTATTACAAGTACTTTTATATCCATTGATAACAAATACTACAAGAGATGCCTTGTTATCTGAAGTCCAATTGATACCTCCTTCAAAAGAACGTATAACATTTACAATTTTATTAATATCTTTATACCCATGTTTAAATAATTTGTTATGTGTTCCATGCAACAACATTTGGTTTGCTTAATAATAGTGTTATTCCTATTCATTAATCTAATTGATCAAATGGAAGTTTAATATTATAAATATATTTATATTTTATAAACACAAGGTTAATTTTATTGAATATCAACCATTAAATAGTAGAATAAACTATAATATACTAGAAAGTGTTTAGGAAAGTTTATAAATTATAAATTGAATATTAATCTAAATGAATAACAACCATTAAATGTTAGAATATCCTAGAATATTCAGATATATTTTAGGTATTTCTACTACCACTCCACTCCCCTATATATTTGCTTAAGCAAACCAAAAATATTATAACAGGTTCTTTATTATTTGAAGTTGACCCTGTTGTAAAGTTGGTACCTCCTTTGGAAGAAGGTATAAATTTAAAATTTTATTAATATATTTATACTCATTTTAAAAAAATTTTATAGGAAACACTTTATTATCTAAAGCCTAACTCATTGAAAAATTTGCACCTCCTTCTAAAAAAGGTATAATATTAAGAATTCCATTACCCATTTTAAAAAATATTATAGAAGATATTTTGTTATCTAAAGTCCAACCTATTGTAAAGCTAGTACTTCCTTTAGAAGAAGGTATAAGATTAAAAACTTCATTAATATCTTTTTACCCATGTTTAAAGAATATTACAAGAGATGTCTTGTTCCCTGAAGTCCAACCCATTGAAAAGCTAAGATCTCTATTTGTAACTTTGAAATTTTTAACACTTATATACTCACATTTACAAATTATTATAAAATATGTTGTGTTCTATGAAGTCAAACCTCATGTTGATAAGCCAATACCTCAAATTGAAGAAGGTATATAATTTAATTTTTTTCTTGATATTTCTGATAACATTAATATATTTCAAGAGATAGTACATTAATTACATGATAAGTTATCTAATGAAGAGCATGTAGCTCAGATTGAGCAAGGTATAAAGTAATTACAATCTCAAATAGTTTTCAATACACAAACATTATAATCTTCTGTTTTTTTTTTCTAATACTCATAATGACCACACTTTGCAAAAAAATGTATCTATAGGAGATAACCTGTTATCTAATCAGTTCATAAGTCATCTAAAGTCATATTATTGTTATTTTCTTTTGATGATAACAATTGATTCCTTTTTAGGAATTGTAGATCCAAGTTTCATTTATAAGGTCATTTTGCTCATGATCATGTATAGAGCACAAATAAGAATGAAGAACTAATAGAAGAACAAGGCAACAGACAAAGGTATTGATAACGATACTTTAATTAGTACCTTGATTCTTCTTTGCTTTCTGTTGGTTGTATTGGCAATTTTGAGGTAAACACATCTGATGCAAAATTAAGCTCAACACTTCTGCAACATAATAATAATAAAATATTAACTAAACCTGCTCTAAAACGGTTAATAATTTTTAAAAAAAACTTAACAAGCCATTTGTCTAAACTAAGTACAACCAATTTATTAAAATGATAATTCATGTCAAATTCCATATTTAAATCCTCCTTGAATGAAAATAAATGGTTAAAAAATAATACAAATCAATTTTGATGGATTTGTTTTATATTGATTTAAAATATGTATTTGAAAAGAAAACCTAGTAAGAAACCAGATTGGTTTAGCCACCTAATGAGGCACCCTATGTTCATGGCCAACACTCTAATCAACATCTTTGCAAAGTGTTGCAACATGGAAGAAAAGTTTTTACTAGATGAAGCTTAGAGATGTGGTATTATAAAATGTCCTGATGCTCATCTTAGTTGAGAGAGACCAAAGCAAGCTAGCTCTACCTCTTTAAGAAAATGAAGTTATAAGCTTAGTGTAATGCTCACTCTGAACTCTCAAAGCTTGTAAAAGTATTAGGGCACAAAGACATTGAGGAGTATGGTTGGAAGAAGTATCTGTTTATTATTGTTCATCAACTCAATTATGTATGAAACATGGAAGCTAAGGACACTTATGCATTTTTAAAAAAACTGGAGGCCATGTTTTGTGGTGGTTTAGTACAGATTTTTTTATATAATGAGAGCAATAACAATATTGTTTTAAGAAAGTTTGTTAAGGAATATATTTTATCTTGCAAAAATCCATTGCATAGATCTTATTCTTGGGATGCCATGGTTGGCAAAAGTTAATTTGGAAATAAAGTGGAGTATTAAGTGTGTCTCGCTAGAATACAATAGTGTTAAAAATGTGTGGTTTGGAAAAGGAGTTTAGCTTTTAATTGTTATGTTCTACACTATATCTTTAAAGTAAGTTTGTTATAATAAGAAGCCACTTTCAAATTATTTGTTTGTTTGTTCATGACTTGGAGGACAAAGGCATATATGAGGGAGAGGTAACAATGCAAATTGCATTCGAGAAGAGAATAGAGAAAAAGAGATTTTTTTCTAAACCTTGGAAGAGATACAAATGGCAACATGAGACCTTTTAATACTTGGTCAGGGATGGAAGATGTGTTCATCGCTTTCTCAAGCTTGATTCTTTAAACAATGTCAAGTGTTATAGAAACAATAGAGCTCTACTTGGTGGTCTGTCAACCCAGTTTAATGGAAGAACTTCTTATTGTGTCAGCCTAGTAATAAGAATCCGGGTTGACCATTTCTGGAAGAACTTCTGGAAGATCACCCAGATCTCATTTCTGGAAGATCCCAAACATGTCCTGCATAAATGGTCCCTACACTTCCCGAACATGCTTTATGACATGGTGTCTAGAATGATCTTAACTATCTTTTGTGGCTGCACTTGAACATTCTTTATATCCTCTAAAATCTTCAGCAAGTCAGCAACCAATGACAAGCAGTCCAACCCCTTGGTTTTAACTATAATCTGATTTTTTATGTCTGTTGTCATCCATTCTTTCCAATGTTGAATGCCTCCCTGAGATTGCACCACAATACAAGTGTAAGAAAAGAGATGATACAACAAGAGAATCTATTCTGGTTGAGTTGGATTCTTCCCTTCATACTGCACACCATAGAAAAAATCAAAAAAGACATTAAGGTGTTAACAAAAACCTATTCTTCTGGATTTATTGGATTCTCAAGAACAGATGTCAACTTAGACTACACCATAACACAAGAGTCAGAAAAGAACGCAAGGAGAACCTGTTCTTGTTGAGCTGCCCCCTTCATTCTGCCTACCCACTCTTGTTATTGGGCCTCCACCATGCCACACAGAAAGAATCAAAAAAGAGATGATACCAAAGTGCAAGTGCCTACACAAACCTGATTCTCCCAATCTAGCCTCTTCCGAATCTCATCCACCTTAGACCCCAGCTGCTGCACAGCCTTTTGAGCCTCCTTACATGAAATAACCGCATTCCAAACACGCTCCGGTGCCACCATCTCCACTTTTGTTCACATTCCCAGAACCAGCACTAAGGTTCATAGATAAACTCAGATACAGTGACTCGTCCACACGTCTGAAGCCTGAAAACTGTGGAGAGTTTTCTGCAAGATCAATCAGCCCAGATGACCTGTTCGTATCTTTTGCCTGAATGAAGAGTGTGCTCACGTTCAGCCTGTCCTTCATATCTCCCAAATGAATAGGCA